TAATTAATTTGTAATGAATTCTATAAATATCAAGTCTTCATTCTCTGAGATCTCTGATTAAAACAAAAAACTTCTTTTCATATTTTTTTTTATAAATCTATTTTTTGTTATCAATGTAAATGTTATCACATTTGTAGTCTTTGAAAAAAAATTTTTTAATTGGATCATTAATAAAAGGAACCGCTACAAATCGTCCTCACAAGAAAACTGAAGGAATTATATGAAAGGTTTATATTAGTGAAGTACTTTGATAAAAAAAATTGGTGTTATGAGATATTAGGCTACCCGAAGCATTCAGAACATTTTTAGAGTCAAAATATGAATATATGAACTTTTTTGAGGGTCCTTTAGAAACTGAGGCCCCGTGTTAAGGTATGGTTTGGCACGCCCGAGTAAAGGTATAAATGTGAAGCCTTTTAACTGTGTGCATCATTACAATGTATGACGTTTCTAAATGAGTGGAAAAGGAGACGTAAAACAACATACATGTCAGGATTCTCCACATTTGAAAATTTAACCATGGAGGAAGCTGCGCGAAGGCCAAATGTAGCCGAAAACACTAATGCATCTTAGACTTCCTAATCTTCATTAATCAATGATTGGTTTTTACAATTTTTAAACTTACCTAGTGCAATACAAAACAATGAAATAACTAACACATTTTAAAGTGAAAAAAATATTAATTAAAATTGAAAAGAGTTTATCCTGTATCTTACTTCACAAATGTACCAAAATTTGCCCAAAACTGTAGTAACCTTCCGAAGGAATTTAAAGAAAAAATGTTGATAAAGGTAGCCAGTAACCATGGCATTAGATTACTAATGATAAGAATTGTAGTCTGTTTTATGAAATGTTTTGTTTCAATATGACTATAAAACTGATTAATGGATAGTGTTTTTATTAAGTTAATACACAAAAGAACATTTGGACCAGTGTCCTTTTTAAGCGCTAAGCGCAGCGCAAAGCGCTTTCTGTCAGCGTAAATCTACTTCCGTTCTGGATCCAGCGCCACTATATGCAAGAAAGATAATTCCACTTGTTAATCTAAAAATATGCAACTGGAAATCCCTGACTCTCTTTATGCTATTTTAGTGAAATGCTGCGTTACGTGCATTTATAATAATAGAAGGCAATTAGTAAGGTTTAAGGATGTTCCACAGTAAGTAGATAATAGCAGTTCTTATCATGCTCTTCTCTATACATAGTAGTTCATTTCAATCATGTTGGCACACATTAGTTTAGTACCACGTTGCTTACAAGTGCTGCCGCTAAGGCGCAAATACTTAATTAAAAAACAGTATATTATTTATCATGTACATGCAATATAGTGATTGAATATTCAATACGTACCCGGTACATGATTTAAAACTCAGATGGGATTTTGAAATAAAGTTTTTAATCCTCAAACTGGAAGTGAGTTATTCAGTAAAAGAAATTACATAAAACTGATTTAAAATGTAATTCTTCTATAATATGGTACGTTCTATATATCCATATAAACTATTATTTTTTTTCTTCTAGACAATTATTTCAGGCAATGTAACTAAAACAAGCCTTTCTATCAACATCTTGCACCATGCTGAGATTTATGAGAGAAGTTGATTTTCGCATCTAAGTATCATTTAGTAGCAGACTGGAATGCATTCAAGGACGGTCTTTTTTAATGTCTATACTTGTGTTGTACATAATTCGATAGGAAGGGCAGTTTGTGGTTGTACAGACATGTTAAAGCATGTGGTGGATGTGTTTTCAACGAATCCACTCGAATCATAAAACTTATTTCTCGGACTACATGTATTGTGCTCTAAAATTGTGCGCGTAGTGTGGAGGATATGGCGAAAAATGCTAAAACCTTAATTAACGTTCTTAGCTATGGACAGAATTAGGGCTGATGAAATGTTAAGCAAACGGTGTAATACTTGAAGTAGGGAACTAGGAATAAATAGTTTATGTAAAGATGTGTCTCAGCTGTCTTGCCGATTCTTAATGAAGACTAAATAAAAACAGAATAAAATAATGTTGTATACCTTCATGAAGATTTACTAACACTTGAGATTAATACTGTATTTTCTTTCTTGGACTCTTGAATTATTGATCATTGAAATAGCAGAAATATTTCGAGCAATTATTTTCAGTATTCCTTTTTAACTAGCACAACAATGCCGTAGTTATGTTTTTCCTCTCAAAATGTCTGGCATGGTAGTGAAGATCATACATACACAAGTAAAGAATGGTGAAAAGCACCAAGCATCCGCAAAAAATACTGAAGCATTTTAAATTATTTCAACAATAGTTAAAAATACTTTTGGAAGTTTAATGACGTAATTTTGATCCAAAGAAGAAAAGTGTAAAATTTTTATTGCAAAAACTCATTAACTAATGAGTGACACATATTGTATATCAACACAAATGTTACTGCAAATACATGTACGCTACAAATCATATATTTGAAAATCAGAGATAACAAGATAGCATCAAAAGATAAATGTAATATCTTCATACTAAAATGTGTAATTACATATTATCTCTGACATAAAGGGCGTTAATTCTACGGATGTTCATTTCATTTACATAGAGTTTTGTCATATGACGTTGTTTCAAACATGATGCCAATCTTCAATTTGAAAAACTTGTAAACGCAGAATGAATTTGTTATCAAATATGATCACTAGAAGATTTTATCTTTCAGTGTTGCACGTAAATGAGAGGAATTTTAGTGACATTTTCAAGTGTTCACATTTTTTTCAAATACAATGTATACATTTTCCAGCAAAAGTATAGCTACATGAACATTTAGAGATTAAATTTCATCGGAAAACTCGATAACCATCTCCCTTCCAATAAATTGCAATTTATATGCAAATACGACCTCTTATAGATCCCTACAAGGCGATGGGGAAATAAAATAATTTGACACGCAAATATATTTTCTTGCAATTTCGTGTACAGTACTGTAAGTGAAATTGATTGATCTTTTGACAGAAGAAGATAATGCATAATGCTTGAAAAAAAGGCATGAGACAATGTTGAATTTCATATTCCAACTGGGTTCACATATTCAGGAATCGAATACTTTTTGACAACTGTGCTCAACCTAGCGCTATCGCACTGTCAAAATATCGCTTAAAATTCATTACAACAGGACATTTTAAATTAAAATAATTCTGACGAATTTCAAATCAATATGCTTAGCGTTTCCCAGTACTTTCAGTACTTTGATTTCTAAACGTTTTATTTGTCTAGGTATTGCATTAATCACCCAGTTTTGTTTACTTCTCCACGTGTCCAGAGCTAAAAATAGCGCCACGCGATGTTTCATAACAACGGGAAGTAAGTCTAAAACTAAGACGGCGATTGAGAAGCAGGCCCTATACACATTTTATCAAAAATATAATAAAGTTAAAGCTTATAAAACAGAGCATGGGGAATTGATTAAATACAGAGGAATATGAAATTTTTACAGAGTATTTTTTTTGGCCACAGAAACTTGAATCGCAAGCATGACGATTTTTGTGCTTGTATTACCGTATCGGTATTAATTAAATTGTAATTTTTTATAAACCCGTTATATATCTAATCATGTAGTGAACATGTTGAAGTTACCCAAAATTATTTACATGTGTGCACGATAATTAACTCACAAAATATTGATCAGCTGATTGACTCTCCATTGATTGTCATGCTTCGTAGCATATAGTCGCCGATTAACGACGTGTTTCTTTCCTTCGAGGCATGCCAGGTGCAAGGCAGTCGTAGTATAAACACAATTAACTACTCATGTCATTAAAAAAGTAGATGTCAGGACTGAAATGCAATGAAATTTAATCATGGCGGATGCTGATTTTAACCATGGTGCAGCTCGTTTAACCATGGCGCACATAAATTTAACCATGGCGCGCCGCCATGGTAAAACCCCTTGTGGAGAACCCTGCATGTACAATCAAACAATCAATGCAATAGAGACAAACTTTGTCTAAACAATTGACAAAAGCAAATGTGACATGATGCAATAGAAAAATATCCAAAGCTTTGAATAAAGCCTTTATAGCAACTATCATCATGATACAAAATTCAAAAGTTTACGAATTTTCTGTTTGCATATCAGAAAATTTGAAAAAAAAAATTAATTATTGAAAACAAAAATGTATTACTGGTTAACAGTGATATTATTGATTATAAGATCTGTTGTTTTATCAATATTGTACTGATACTTTAAAATATATTGAAAAGACTATAGGCAAAGCAATAACAATATTTGCTCGTCTATTTTGATTGGGGCAACATATCTATAAAAGTAAAACAAGAATTAACGAAGTAAAAAAATATTTGTTCAAATTGTCACTATCTAATTATATGTTTGGATACCATTCACACTCGGATTAAAATTTTGGTCAGTCTACAATTCCATTTCTGCAGAGGAATATGCATTATAAATTTTGTTTACTTTATTATTTATAATGATAAAGAGAAATTATAATGTTAGGAGGCAGTAAAAGCCTGGATTTTTTTCTGCATGATGAGTGGAAAAATTGGACGAAAGCTGCTAAGAAAATAAGCTTTTAAAAAATTGTAATGTTTTTGGGTTTCGTTTCAATAAGAATTTAATCTTTAATATCCTTAACATTTATCTGTTTCTGCTTGTTTCTATATATTGTTTATTACTGTTCATTATTAATATAGATGATATCAACAAAACCATTGGCGACATAAGGAATGACGTCAAACAATCTCAGTACGACCCAATCGGAGTTCCTCGGATGACTCGTACCTCGCACATAACCTCGGACGTCAACGGTGATCTTCCATCTTGCTGATTCAGTCATGTGATCTTATTTGAATTTCATTCAAATATTATACTTTTGAAATCCGAGTTACTTTGATGCACGCCCAACACTGTGTTCTTGCTTTAAAAGAATACTAACACTTGAGTGTAATTAATACGAGGAATTACACTAATAAAGAAACCTTTTCTAAGAACTCTAGGCAGAGCGAAATATGAAATGAGTGACAAGGCAGTTTCCGGCGGATAAATGTAGCGATCTTTTGCGTATTCCTCCACCTATCACATCCGAGGTTTGAATGGAGCGTAGCGGAGTCAGCCGAGGATTGCCGATTGAGTACGACCAGATGAAGCTGTCCTCTACTGTGTCGTCTCTGGAGGTGTTCCGAATGAATGTTACCAGAAATAAATGCGGTAGATTCTATGAATTTTTTTCAAGATGCATGCCTAGCCAGTAGCTTAAAAAATGACAAAAAACGTATGAATTTTAATTCAATTTACCTATAATATGATTAATTTCTGTTTTCTTCTTTTTTTAAGGCTAAAGTTGATAATTGTTAATAATTAGTATTACTGTATTACAACGCTTGTCAAAATAACATTCACACTATTCTTCACGTGTAGACTTGTCTCGGAGAGTAGCTTTTACTGCTGGAGTAACGTCTACTAGCAGCTCATGGAACAGTGGTATCTTAGTGTACAATAAAGTAATCAACAACGTGGGAGGAGGTTATAACCCGAGCAACGGAATCTTCACCGCACCAGTAGAGGGAGATTATGTGTTCTATGTCACTATCCAAAGTTACAGTAATAACGTTATATACATAGATATTGTGTTAAATGGATCTAGTAAGGTCCGAGCCGTGGCTTACAGCTACAGCTCAAACGAATATTATGACGTGGGTACAAACCTTGTAACATTACCATTACAGAAGGGGGACACGGTATGGGTAAAATACCACAGCGGTACAGGTTATGTATCGGACAGTGACGCACCTCGTACCACTTTCTCTGGATTCCTGATTTGAACTATAAAATGCATTGGCTCTATTTAACATGGAAATTAATACGTAAGTGTATTCATCTTCAAACGTATCATTGTTGTTTAGTCATTCAATTAAATGGAGTTAATCAGGACTATATTAATTTGCTTTGTATACAATAACATACTTAAATCAGTTACATTGTACTTCAGATTCCCTACTAATCAAACAAACAATATGGATGTTATTTTGCTTGTTGCTTGTTAAATATGGCGCTTCTGGCCGCGGTGATCATTTGCTGGGGTTACAACAGGGCTGTCCCACAATCAACAATCAATACAACAAATGTGACGACCCAAATCGCGCGGATCATGCACTGGATAGGTCACAATGCAATAATCAATCAAATTCAATCAATTATTAATTAATCAGTCAATCAATCAATTCAAATCACGTCAATCACGTCAATTACTTGTCAATCAATCAATTATCAATCGATCAATTGATTCAAATATCAATCAAGTCAATAAACAATGTAATGAGCGTAAGAATATGTGTTGCACTCGTCCAATTGTGCTGAGGTGCGACGGAATACGCCATTGCATGGCTACTCGTGTTTACTACGAGTAATCATGGAACTGCAACCGCCACAAATGGGATGTCAAGAACCATGGTGACGGCGGCAGTACCTCAACGCAAATGGTCACCGTCGACCAGGGCCTGCTCGATCATTCAATAATACATATTTACAAAATAAGTGATTTCACAGTTTAATAAACTGAGTCCAAGACTTGTCCGTAAAAACGATTTCTATTTACTCTTATATTGTTGATACTTACCGACACTGTATTTTTCCATTGGTTACTTGTATAAATTACCTAAAAGGCTGTCACTCCTTTCATGACTTTTAAATCATTAAAACACCTCTTACCAAGTTTCTTTGCGTGACAAAGTAATAAACTTAGAAAAAAATTATCTTGCAAGTGTTGCTTATAGTTGTCTTAATGGGCTTTGTACTGAAACAAACCCAAATGGCATACCGAAATTGGAAAACGAAACGATACTGTCACCTCTTAGCTTAAGGTACTAAATTATTTTCAACAATAACAGTGAGTGTCCTAATACACCCCCACCCAAACCGATCCTTTTATATACCTATCTAGTATATAATTAAGACCCTCCTTTAGTAGTTCACAATTTATGAAACAACCATTAGTAATAGAGAAAAGAAAAATAGAATACCAGTAAAGAATGTAAAAATATGTAAACACGTGGTAATAACTTTATTAGTGTATAAACGATATGTTTTTGAAAGCCAGCAATTATCGAAATTACAATAACCTCATCCTCCCCTGTTGCGTTCTGATGGGAAATATGTAGTAGTTGCTTCACTAATTGAAGTGAGCGAAATTTAATTTTACTTTAAAAATGACATATTTTATAAACTATCCAATACTGTTTAAACCTGTCCCCACTCCCATATTTCCTTTAAAAAGGGGTTGAACCAAATTCAACCTCTCATTTAAATCTTTGATATAAGGTTCCATATATTTTAGATTGATATTGCATCAAAAGATCAATTTAACTCAGTTAAAACAAAAACAAGAATTACGAGTATTTTAAAAAATTGCCTCGAAGAGAGTAGTTTTATCTCAGATATAGTACTTGTAATTCATATCAAGCTTGCACTGAATAGACCCTTAACAATTAAACCTATATAAGGGAATTAGGGAAAGGATTTAGTGATGCAGACTCATCATAAATCTGTTGATTCGTGTGTTTTAGTGCATAACTACAATACAAAATACTCTACATTAAATTTTGGCTATTGAATGTGGGGGGTGTGTTCTCTGAAACAGGTTATAATGCATGACAATAAGCGAGCAAAAACATGTCTTTCATGGGCTTTTTTGTTGGTTTATAAGTTACCTGAAAACTACCTAATACAATACTCTTCATACGATCAGTCAATTATGCATCATAGTCCAAATAAGTTGGTGGCCAATGGACATACTCTTTTGTAACTGACAATGGATTGGCCATCGTACAACAACTTTGAATAATGAACTTAGTTAAATATCTGAGAATTTAGAGTTTGGAGTATGTTGCAGGTTTGTGAAATTGAATACTGTGTTACTGTTGAATACTCGATTTATTTCGACATGTTTCCCATTTATTACTATACTGGACAATAAAAGTTAAGGATCATCAAATTAAATATGTTTTGCAAATACTGTATCATAGAAAACAGAATGCAGTTTTAATTTTTGTATCATATTTTATATTCAAAAAGTAAAAATTAAACATTGAATGTGATAAATTTATTTGAACACACCCTACGAATTGTTCATTACGGTCACTTTAGAATTCGGCATGTTAGGGGTAGACCTGAAAATGAGATTTTTTTTCAGAAGAGTCAAATTACTTCACTAAAATAATTGCCAGTTATTTTGTATAACCTCCCCGCGAGGCCCTGCAGCGCAGACCCAAGCTGCCCATCAGTCGTCCAAGGCTAGCCTGAGGGATCTGTTGCCATTCCTCCTGCAATATTAATGCTGTCTGAAGGTCCCGTCGATTTGGAGGAAGTGTAAGACGAACTAAAAAGACGTATTGCATGTACTCTGGGGGAGAATTTCATCTTAATGGATGTCAATACTATAAAATGCTTTAATATGATGTTAGAGTATTTATGTACTTGATTGACATCTAAGGGTAGGGAATTCGGTCCTGTAGGGATTAAAATCCTAAATATTTCTATTTAAATGCTTACTTACAAGCTTTATTTTGCAGCCCAGTCATTCCTATCAAAAGTTATCCAAAACTCAATCTGAGCAGATTGATTTATTTTCTTATTATTTAAGCTTTCATTTTTTTTTTTATGAAGGACCAATATGAAGATTGAGACATCCTGAGATAGTAGCTAAAATTTCTTACCTTAGTGCGACTCTAGCCCTAATGCTACTCTTACGCCTTGTACTAAATAAATATAATTTGCTCCTTGCTTGTGACTGAAACCAGCATAACTAGTCTAAGGCATATGAATGATTGATTATTGCTGTTTTACTCTAAGGTTTATGAAGCCAAATTTCTACAGCTTTGTTTTGCTTTGAGCCTTTGGCAGCTTACCCTGACACAAAATGCTCACTCTAAAAATTAAATCAGAAATTTCTGACTTTAAAGCTGTATTTTTTACACAGTCATTGACCAGGTGGACAACAACAGTTCCTATGATTCATCGTGGAGTACTGTATTATCATTTAGAGACCCCCTCCCCTTTTGTTAGATGGAAAATCAGTTATATAAACCTAAGACCTTAAATCTTTTGGTAAAATATTCTCTGTGTATGCCTATATGAATTTTATTTAAATGTTTCAATAGAGCAGCAAACAAATGATACGATACCGAACTGTAAATGACTCATTACAATGATGAAGTGAACCAACATCCTTACAGTACTTTCAGTACTTTGATTACTTCAGAAATGAAAGTGACGCAATTTTCGTGAATGTTATTTGAAGATTATAAATTTTGGCAAAATGTGTTAAGTACCTTCTTCAGGCTTCATAATTTTTTTTTGGAAAGCAAAACTTAAAACGGATTAATAGGTATGTCTGTCACAGTCTGACTTAATGTTTCTGCGCTTGACCCCCCAAACCAATAGCGAATCGGGAATTGTTCATAGGCGTCGGAACCGGGGGGCGAGGGGGGGGGGCTTAGCCCCCCCCCCCACTTTTTTTCAAAATACATACTTAGTATAGACATTGAACATATCTTCGTAGGTTTAGCCCCCCACTTTTCACAGGTACACGTGTCTTAGTATAGGTTAAAAATGGGGAAACTGGTGGTGTTTGGAAAAAAAATTTTGGTTATGAAGCTCGAACCTACCACAAACCCCCCCCCCCCCCCCCCCCCCCCGAAGTAAGATTTTCGTGTTTGGGAAATGGACATTTTTTTACGGACTGTAAACTATAGTTTACAACGTTTATCTATATTTAACATCTGTAAACCATAGTTAACGCGATAATCTATGTTTCACAACCGTAAACTATACTTAACACCGAAAACAATCATTTGCGATTGCAAAACATAGATTATCTGATAAATACATTTCACGATTGTAAACTATGGTTTACAACTCTTAACTATTGTTAACGATCGTAGAATATAGTTTACAGACGTGAATCTATTTTTAACAACAAAATCTACTGTTAACGTTTTATTACAGACAGATAAACTTAGATTAGCATTCGTAAACTATATTTAACAACCATTAAATATAGTTTTACAGATAAAAATTATACTTAACGAATTGTAAACTATAGTTTACTGTCAAGAAACCTAGTTTATCAGTTGTGAAACTATATTCAGCACGCCAAATTCACAAAAATGAGCTTATCATAGTTTCACAGTCGATTAACTAGGTTTATCGACTGTAAACTTTAGCTAACAACGTTAATCTATATTTCACATCTGTAAACCATAGTTAACGCGATAATCTATGTTTCACATCCGTAAACTATACTTAAAACACCAAAATTAATCATAGATTATCTGATAAATACAGTTTCAAAATTAATCATAGATTATCTGATAAATACAGTTTCACGATTTGTAAAATATGGTTTACAACTCTTAACTATAATTAACGATCGTAATCTATAGTTTATAGATGTGAATCTAACAACAAAAACAACCAAATCTATTGTTAACGTTTTATTACAGACAGATAAACTTAGATTAGCATTCGTAAACTATAGTTAACAACCGTTAAATATAGTTTTACAGATAAAAATTATACTTAACGAATTGTAAACTATAGTTCACGGATTGTAATCTATAGTTTACAGTCGACACACCTAGTTTATCATCTGTGAAACTATGTTTAGCTCATTTTTGTGATTTGGCGTGCTATTCATATTGTATAAATTCAACCAATACAGACGACGTTTGATCCTAACAAAAATCTTGGCAAAATCCAATGTAAAATTACACCATCTAATCGTCTAATTTGGTTTGAAATTTCAAATCTTAATTGTTGCCCTTGA